AGTGCACTGAGGGGTCCTGAAGCCTGGTGGGGCATACCCAGGGTAATCAACTGTCCCTGTTTGTTCAGGACATAAGACTTACAGTGCTAACACAAGAACAATCCTAGGTGGCTCATTGCATTAACAGAGATTCTGCCTCCATACAACACCCTATGACCTGGAAGACTCTTCTTTCGGCCATGCCCAGCCAGCACTCTGACCATGCCTCCACTACATCCCCTGCCCTCCCCATTCTTTCCCTGTGACTCCTAGTCCAACTTTATTTAAGGAGTGTTTCTGACATTTCACTTCTTCAGACTGAGACTTCATGGTAGAAATAACCCAGTATACTATTCATCATGCATCTTTTGTAGCCTGGCACAGAGCGTGGAGCATGTGGAGAGGTTGAGAAATACATCCTGTGTCACAAGTGATCTCATCCCATTACCAAAACAACAGGTAGTCCAAAGGCCAGCCCCAGCTTAGAACTGCTGTGTCCTTGCTGTTACTCTAGACAGTCTCTAGGGATGCTGGGCAGGGGCTGTACCATAGTTCTCAACAAACTTAAAAATATCTACCAAGCAACAAACAAAATCTGAAAACTTCTGATGGGCCAGGCTTGGTCCCAAAACCATTTGGTGGGACCTAGGTACAAGTTTAGTACTTTTTCAGTGTTACCCTCATGCCAATGTATGGTGTTTTACTTGGTTCATTAACGCCCCCTTCTAGATTCCTTATATGATTTTATATGTGCATAGTTAATTTCTACATCAAGGTAGAAATTTTCCAGTGTGATTTCAGTCCTTTTACAATCAAGAGTCAAAAGAAGTAATGTATGATTTTCCTTCTCAGGTGCCTTAGGTACTCAGAACACTAATCAAGCATACGCAAGGCCCCAGGTGTGGGATCCAGCACCACAAATAAAGAATAATGCTGAAAAATTCCTGGGGGGTGGATTATTAGGGGGCAATTTTGAATGCCATCCTTAGGAACACCATATACTTTCTTTGAGACAGGCCTCTCATTGGGTTGGAGCTCCCAATTAGGCAGGACAGACTGGCCAGAGATCTTCCTGAGTCTGCCTTCTCAGTGATGGGATTACAAGCACATATCAATGCATCCACCTTCATGTAGGTGTTGAGGATTGAACTCATGTCCTCATACTAGCAATGCAGGGACTTTATTGATGAACTATCTCTTCAGCTGTTCTCCCTCATTTTTGAGATAGGGTCTCATGTAGCCCAGGGTGGCCTCTCTACATGCTATATAGCTGAAGATGATCTTGGATTTCTAATCCTTCTGCTTTCCTCTCCTAAGTGTTGGGATTAAAGGTATGCACCACCACACCTGGTTAATATAGTGCTGGATCAAATCTAGTACTCCATGCATGTTAGGGAAGCATTCTGCCAGTTGCGATACATCTCCAGGACAGGACCAGTCTTTTCTTCCTCCTTAGGTGATTCCAAATGGGCAACCACTTTTGAGAGTCACTGTTGTATTCTGAATTTCCTGAACCAAATGCTGAACCTCCTCTCATGTGGAATTTGCAGCACTTACTGACTTAAGCTTTCTAATGTCAAAAATATTCCCTATTAGTGGATGCCACATCTGGTTACTGAGGTCTCCATAGGTGACCTTGGACACTGTTCAGCATCCAGCTGCTAGTCCTAGCTCCCCATATCTGCTGCTGCTCTCCTACCGTGATGATCAGGAAACCTTTACCTTGCCAAATATGCAAGGACTGTTCCTCACTTCCTCAGTGCTATGATAACAAATGGTTAACAACTGATTCTGGAAAAGGAGTCTTGAAAATCTCTGATTTGTATTAGTTGCCAATTGCTATAATGTCAATATTCCCATCCTGGTCTACTGCAGGCTCTTGTCCTGAGGTGACTAAAGCAGGGGGCTGGGGAGAGATGTCTACTACATCTGTCAACTTTCATGAACCCCAGACCCAACAAGGGTCCTCAACCTGCTGAGACTTTGAAAGTACAGAGGCAAAAAAGTCCTTTCTGGGTGGGACTCCTTTGAGAGCATGAGCTAAGTGTGAGCCTAGGTATACAGACCCAGAAGAGCATCTTCAAGGAAAATCCTAATTTAACTGGACAGTAGATGCTCAATTAAACTGAACTGAATGTGGTGGTCCTCAATACTCATTATAGCATTTTCCATTTTGATCATTTCAATCTTCAATGTACCTGGCAGGTTCAGGGAAGATAGGTGTCTTGGACTTTACTGGACAGGTCAGACAACTGAAGGTTGTCTAGGTCCCCTATACTGGAGAAAGTACATAAGTATCTAGACAACCAATGTGAAGGCCCAGGGCTCACACCCCATCTGTAAATTCTGACAACATGATCTACAGCCTTGCCACAAAATAGCCGAAGTATAGGAAGGGACAGAGGGCAGTCTTTAGTACTCCAGGAGCACAGCTGGATTAGCTGACCTGAGGCTCTGTGTGCGTCACAACTCTGGGTCTGCTAGAAAGCATGTCTGGGAGAGATGACTTTAGAGCTCCTAAGAGCAGTGGTGGCTACTCACATCGGGAACGAAGGGAGGATCCAACATCCCAGCCTCCAGGCGCTTAAAGTTCATGTTCCTGAAGAATGGGTGCCTCTTGACCTCAGCAGCCCCTTCCTCCTGGCAACCCAGCCTCTGCTTCGAGTCTTTGGTGAGCAGCTGTGACAAGAGAGTCCCATGAGGCCATGTGGTTGGGCCTTTCTGTCTGCCCAGAAGACAGAAGACCAAGGGAACATCTGTGGCTAAAGCTCTCCCAAGTGTCCCTCTTCTAGCCCCTCCAGTGCCACCTCCAAGAACTCACAGTTTGCATGGGGACATCTCCTCAATCAGAAGAATTGAAGCGGCAGCAGAGTGGGCACCAGATGACATCTTTGTAAAAACTAACTGACCCTGTGGTACATCATCAGGCTGGTGGCTCACATTAGTGCCCACATCTGGGCTTCTCTTTTCTAATTGATTTTGTTTTACAATGTTTACTTATTGTGTGTGGGTATATGTGTCACAGCACATGTGTGGAGATCAGAGGACAACTTTGTGTCGGTTTTGTCCCTCTACCTTTTGCATGAGCTCCAGAACTTGAATTTAAGTCACCAGTCTTGCACAAAAAAGAGTTTTACCTTCTGAGCCATTTCTCTGGCCCTGAGTTTCTCTTTTCCTTGTGTAACATAGCTATGCTTTCTCCATTCCAAGAAACGCCAAAGAAGCAAGGCTGTGCAGTGGCTGAGCCTGTTAATAAGCCCCAAGGCCCACACTGCTGGCAGATCAGTAGCATCATCAAGGATAAGAAGATGAAAAAAGGATGAGAAGTATGGTTAGGTTTCTTATCAGCTACTACCAGGCAGGAATGACAGCTAAGCAAGACTTATGCTAAGAAAATGCTAGAAATCAAAAATGCTAGAAAACCAGGCTTTTAGTATGAAATCTCTTCACTTAAAAAGTTTGCCTGTTAAGTTAACCTTTTTTTTAAATCTTTAAAATGCTCCATACAGGTAAAACAAAACATCCACCTATGGTGTCAATGGTTTATAAACGTGCTATCAGGTGTATATTAGCATGAGAGAAGGTGGGTTGTCCTTCCGTAAGCTGCAAATATGCATTGCCTTTATTGGTTGACAGATAAAGCTGCTTTGACCTCTGGCAAGACAGAATATATAGGTAGGTGGGAAATCCAAACAGATATACAGGAAAAGAAAGGCAGGGTCAAGAGAGACGCCACCCAGACGCCCAAAGAACAACATGCCAGCAGACTGGTAAATCGTGGGAATATTAGAAATGAGTTAATTTATAAGTAAGAGCTAGCCAATAATAAACCTAAACATCAGCCAACCAATTATATTAATATTAGCCGCTGAGTGATTATTTCATAAGCAACTGCAGGGACTACCAGGAAGGAGAGAAACTGGTCTAGTGGACCTGACAGGACAGAGAAAAGCATTTGGCTACAGTAGAAGAAGGCAGAATAGTTTCCCTGGATGTAGAGGACTACATGTGATCTGGACTAAAATGGGTGGAGGGCTCAAGGGAGGGTGGAGAAAACACATAGATGGGACTAAGCAGGAGCCTAAGGAAGGTGCATGTCTGGATTAGATCCAGGGAGAAGGAAATCAGATGTGTAAACTTCTAGATCTCAAGAGGCATGGCTGCCAAGATGGAATGGAGAACAATTTTCCCTGCTGTTTGTGTAGTTGCCCTCATGACTTACAGGTCAGGCATTGCAGTAGAGCATTGTATTACAAAGAAGAGGATGTCCAGACGAGAATCCAAGACCACAAGAGAAGACAGAACAAGGCTTGAGGTTTCTGGTGGTTCTTCCAGGCGGCAAAGAAGAGGGCTCAACCATTTGTTACCTTTCAGCTAGAGGCCAGAGTGTAAAGCTTAGCCAGCATCCTTCCCAAAGTGGCCACAAGGCGGCAGGAGAGGGACAGCAGTGTCCCTAGTTATAGGAAGAGTTCCATTCAAAGCACGGAGTTGAAGTGAAAGGCTGGGGGGTGGTGGTGGTGATATGTTGCGATAATCCTTTTGTATACTGGGTGTCTAAGGCACCCTCTGATTGACTTAATAAAGAGCTGAATGGCCAATAGCTAGGCAGGAGAGGATAAGCGGGACTTCCAGATAGAGATAGGAACTCTGGGAAAGAATCTGAGGTGGGTGATCTGTCAGCCAGACACGAGGAAGCCAGATGTATGGTACTGGGAGAGGTAATGAGCCACAGGCAGAGCATAGATTAATATAAACAGGATAATTTAAGTTTTAAAAACTAGTTGGGAGCAAGTCTAAGCTAAGACTAAACTTTCATAATAATAATAATAATAATAATATTAATAAAAATAAAAAATCTCCATGTCATTATTCAGGAGCTGACAATCTGAAGGAAAAAAAAAAAAAACCAGCTACAGTGGTAGTGGTATTAGAAGCAGGGGTCATGTTTGCCTCTTTCTCTCAGTATGTTCATGTCCCTGTTGAGGTCTCTTGAGACCTGCTTCTTAAAATTGCTGTCCCTGGAAGAAGACTGTGTGATACCACCTTCTACAGTCTAGTCATACCACACAGACAGCTGACCATAGCATAAACGAGTATCACTGCAGCCCTCTCCCTACACCCTGACCTCTGCTGCCTGTTCCTGTAGTACCCACGCTGACGGTACTGCAGAGACAGTCTGCTGCAGTGCTTCTCTGAGGTTAGTTAGCAGGATGTGGGCTTAAGATCTGTGTGTTACATGCCACTCTTCATCATGTCTTTTACAGCTGGCAGGGCAGAAGGACACTTCCTCTTCTTTTGGATTTGATCAGATGGCAGATCCAGCCACAAATCTTTCCCATAGCTCTATGATATACAAGTGACCAGGTTGCAGAAAAGGGTGAGGTATTTCAGTCCCAACCCAGGCTCTGGGATTAAAGCAGGGGTAAGGGATTACATTTGGAATTTTCAATTTAGTGGCAGGGGGCTTGGTGTAGCATAGCAGACACTGTCATCAGCAAGGCTTATTTTGTTAGTTTCAGCAGAGCAGCCCACTAAATGCAGAAGCTTAGCTACTTCTTTTCAGGTTTCTAGTCCTGGCCCTGACTAAGCTCCACCCTGGGCCATTTGTGTGTATACTCTTAAGCCTATCCCAGGGCCACTTGAGGACTCAGGAGAATTAAGAGGAGAGGCCCCCTTCAGGCTGGGCTTCTCTGCACCCCACATACAGTGTGGCTCCAGGGGAGGGTAGGCTATGGGCTTGCAAGTATGTGGAGCTAGATACTAAAATCTTTTTGGTCCAGCTACGGTTGGCATCAGAGGGCATCTGCTCATGGTGAGACTTGGGAGCCTGACAGCCAGGCTGGAGCAGGAAGTACCTGACTTCACACAAAGTCAAAGGAAGGGCTCAAGGACCAGCTATGAAACAGTGTCCACCTGGGCTGAGGGGAAGGACAGCACTCTAGGGAGGATCTTATGGCCCTACCACTCCTTTCTCTTTATGGCTGCTCAGTATGTCCAATATCTGGCCCAGTTCCAGCCAGTCTAATCCTCCACACTTGTATGCCCTACCCATTCACAGATGCTGTCATATAGAAATTGAGCTGTGACCACCTTTCCACATAGTGAATGGAAAACTATGAGAATATGTTCAAAGACCCCAGGGATATCAACACCCCTCCTGTAGTCCTTGCCCTCAAACCAGTGTTTAGAATCCAGAGCTGAGAGAAAAGGAGGCCCAAGTTCAAGAGCAGGAACTTGTGTGTGAACCAACTTAGGCCATCATCTCTATCCTTTGCTGACTTCCCCACAAAGCTACATACCTTCATGGGTGGTCACTCAATCCCCATTTCTTGGTTCATGGGGTCTCCTGCCCAATATGCCATGCTTCCCCTAAGGCCTGTCTGACCATCTCATCCAGATCAAGAAGCACAAGCCATTCTGGTGTAGAGGTCTATGCTACCCACAGCTTTGTATGTACTGTTCCTATCCTTTCAGGCTGTCTCATGTTCTAGGCATAGGATGAGCCACCTCCAGACAGTAGCCTATGGGCAACATTAGGCTCCTCAGGAGCTTACCATGTTGCAGATGGACTTGGCCTCTTCGGAGAACTTGGAGGAGTAAACCTCCTCAGTCTCCAGCACCCGGCGATCCACCTCTTCCCGCTTAACCTTCTCCTTGCGGCCTCGAAATGGTGACTGGCCTTCAATCATCTCATAGATGAGACAACCCAGGCCCCAATAGTCAGGGCTCAGGCCATATCGCTGGTTGTTCAGGACTTCTGGGGCTGAGGAGAGAGGAGGGGAGAGAATGAGGGACAACTGGAAGCAGGATGCAGCCCAAGCATACAGGCCAATGCTGCTCCTCATCCCAGCAGTACCCAAGGGTGAAGCATTCTCACAGAAGGACTGGAGTTTTGGGCTGGGAGAGGGGGGCTACCTTCCTTCCAAGCCCCATTCAATTCAGTAGGTGTGCAAATACCATTTTGTCTAGAAAGTCTTCCCTGACATGATGCTTCACTGTACCCAAGGCTCTAACAGAGGCCTCAGAACTCTGATTATGGTGGTTGGAAATGTCTCCTCAGACAGAATACACACCAGTTTCCACTGCTTTGTCCCCAGTGACAGGCATGGCTTCCACACACAGGGTGCACTGAATACATATTTATTCCAATGGAGAAGGGTGCCCACCTAAATTAAAGATTATATTCAACCTACCCAGACTTCGAATCATTTTGTGGGAGATGGGGTTGCTGTTTTAGAGGACCTGGGTTTGATTCCCAGCACCTACATGGCAGCTCACAACCACAGGTGATTACAATTTCAGGGGAGCCAATGCCCTCTTCTGGCCTCTGTGGGAACTAGGTATGCAGAGGGTGCACAGACACACATGCAGGCAAAACACCCATACACATAAAATAATAAAAATAATAATTTTTTAATATTTTACTGTATCTTCCCTACCACTTTGACAAAATGATTCACAGATTCACCACAGAAGTACAAAAGAGACAGCTACATGTCTTAAGGCCAGCCAGAATGGAAAGCATGTGCACATGACATGCACCAGTGGACACATGACAGGCTGTGTATAGACAAAGCATTCAGAACAGTGTCCAAAAGGAGAGTGATACAAATGTGTAAATAGATTTCCATACAGGTACCTAAATAGGTGTATCTTTATCTATCCATTTAACCTTGCTGCCCATATAGCCACCTATCATCCATTCATCCAGCAATCCATTTATTCATTATCCATCCATCCATCCCCTATCCATCTATTCTCCATGTATCCCTCAGATCTACCAAATCTATCAGAATTCACATGGTCACATATTCACATATTCACACAGACACATATCCCACAGGTTGCCAACTGTTACGTAGTGTGAAAAGGACCATGTAGAACTAGAGACAATGTATTGAACCCCACATATGATCGGCAGGTGCAGGCCTGGGCAGAGGGCAACAGGTACCTCATCTAGAGCTTTCAGGGACCCCCTACATCCCAGGGTAACTGGGGATATATACATAAGGAATGTAGAAGGAAGAAAAACGATGTTCCTAATTGGTAGGAGATTCTAAGAATTTCACTCCAGGTCTCTTCCCAGCATGTTAGTCTTGGAGCAGGTTGAGAGAGGGCAGGGTGGTCCCTACTTAGAACTATGCTTGGAAACACGGTTGGCTCCTCTAACTTTAGAGATCTTCTTAATGATCTCCATCTTCTCACAAGTCTCCCCAAATAACTGTCTACTAGGTAGGTCCTTCTTCAACAAGAGCTCCCCTAGAAATGCTAGTACCAGGTCTTGGTCCAAACCCTGAGGATGGCTTATCTTTGAGACCTAGGTGGGCTTGTGGTTGGGGTTACAGAGAACTAAGTTAGGTCACACCTTGGGTCCCATTGTACCACCCTACCTGATTGAGCTTTCTACCAAGCACCCCTACGGAAAAATCAGCACAATACTTCTGACCAGCAAAACAAAAAGAGACTAGAATAATTATGAGTAATGGCCTTGGGAAGACGCAATTTTAATGAGCACAAAGTATTACTCACCCATGTAGCCAACAGTGCCCACCCGGCCACGGATGAGGTCTCCTTCAGGGATCTTCACGGCCAGTCCCAAGTCTGAGATCCTAATGTGTCCTGTTGGGGACAGCAGGGTCAATGGGTTCCTATGGTAATGTGGATACCCTAGTCAGACACACAGACTCACAAGGCCTCTGTCCAATAAAGATGTGACCTTAATCTGCTCTCTCAGGGTAACCATGTGATCCTGGAGAGTGTAGGTGAAATGTGTAGAAATTGCACATAATGAGGGAAACATTAATAAAGATTCAGAAGGATACTTGGACAAGGTTGGCCACTGGCTGGTCTCTCACTTTTAATGTCCCAACAAGCTTCCTAGAAGGCTGAGGTCACAGAGTTTAAAATATCTTGGCTGATTCTGGGCTTGCTTCACAGGAAAAATATGAGGTTCTTGATATTTTGCAACAGTTTGCTTAAGAGGAAAAAATTGTAAAGCAATTTGGGAAGCCACTCCCTGCCTTCCTGATTGATCATTGGAGGTGGTTTAGGTTTTTTTTTTGTTTCTTGTTTTTGTTTTTGTTTTCCCTTCAAAGAGATGGAGAAATGAGAAGGGCAGGGCCTGGTCTGGAATCTGAGCTCAGAGTCCAAAGTGGCCCCCAAGGCCCAGGCAGCACTGCCTATATCTACCTAGGCAGAGTCATGGCTACATTTCATACCCAGGATGGAACATATGCCCTTGCCCATAAATGCTTGTTAGGCCTGAGTATCTTAGATGGCCTCTAGCTCTGTGGTACCTAACAGGAAAGGGGAGTATGTGAGTACCAGCAGTGGACTGCCTCTGTGGGACTTAGTGTGAGTAGTTCTGAGAATGCACTGTGGCCTGGACTGCTCGGAGGACCTGGTGCTCCCTGTTTCTCCACACACAGCTCTCCCCAGGTCACCAATTGGGAAGGAAGAGGAGGGCTGTGTATACCAGGAACATGTAGGAGATTTGACAGTATCTTTGCCATGGTCAGGCTGGCTCTTCTGAGCCTGAGGCTTGGCTTATTATATATAAGATGGACACTTGAATGCCACCTGTCCCTCTGTGGAGATGGGAAGACCTAGTTAGGTACATGAGACAACTGCACTGCATGTGTGAGGGCCTGAACTGCATGAGGGACTACTAGCCACATGCTTATGCCCAAGGGCAAGTAACAATGACAGTACACAAATAATGACATGTTCACAGCTGGCTGGAGTCAGCAGGCTGTTTCCTGTGGGCTGTCGCGTAGTATCCCCACTACACAGTGAAATATCCCCACTACACAGTGAAAGGTTCAGGCATTATGCTGGCCTGTCCCTGTTACCTGGCAGAGTCCATTCAGGCAGTACCCTGGTCAGCCCAGGGTTCCATGGGAATTAAGGTGCAGAGAACGCCTTTAAAAGACAGACCCCTGCCCATTTATGCTCTCTCTGCCCCTATTCGCTTCTCTCTGCCTCTTCTTTTATGCTCTCTGCTTCTTTCTCTCACGACTGGCCATGGCGGTCACCCATTAACCCTGTTCCTCTTTTCTCTTAGTCGCTGTACTCTGCCAGGCCTATAATAAACTGGTTAATATGTCTCTTAGTCTCGTGTCTCATCTTGTACCTCTTCTTCATTTCTAACTTAAGCAAAAACCTAACACATAGTCCTCCTCATGGTATCTAGTATAGTCCTGAGGTTTCTGGTTCACAAACAGGACAAGGAGCAGGACAAGTGGCATGGATGTTCAGCACTACCCAAAGCCTCCAAACCTTTGCCTCCTTTGTTTTTGGTCATCACGCTCTGTCACTGACACTGGGCTTTTGATGTCAGAGTCCTTCACAAAGAAGGACCCTCCCTCAGGCCCAGGAATAAGAAACAGGAATAGGATCCTTTGCCCTTTGGACCTCCATGGACCTGGCACAGCCTCCACCATTCCTGAGAATCTGCAGGTCGTTGCTCTGGGTAACTTGGGGCATTAGCCTCAGATACTGTAACAGAAAAGGCCCCCATCTTCCAGCCCCTGACTTACCATAATCATCCAGCAGGATGTTTTCTGGTTTCAGATCTCTGCAAGGTAAAAACAACAGGCATCTGAGTGTGGCCATTCCAGGCAGCAAAGACACACTGCATCTAGGCTGACCCTCTGGGGCCAATCGGGCCCAGATGCCACAAGATGTCTGCCTCCCACCTCTGGGTTGAGGTAGTCTGGTCTCTCTGGGTCATCTGTGAGATCATTTCTCTCCTCCCAGTAATTTAACACAAATGATAAGGTTTTCCACTGGCTTCTTCTCTTTCCTAGAGAGTAACTAGGAGATTAGGAAAGGCCAATTCTAGTGCTTGTCCTCACAGAGATGGCCTATGGGGCAGAGGACACTGGCTAGTATGGTCAGAGACTCCCTGGAGGGCTGAGAAGACCTGGTATCACAGAATGCCCTGTAGGCAGAGCAGGTCCTGGAAACAAAGAGAAGACACCAAGACCAGAGCACCAGAAAGCTGTAATGGTGAAGAGGTCCCAGGAGGCTGGCCATCTCCTAGGTCCTGTCAAAGCCCAGGAAGAAGCTTAGGCAGAAGGCACAGCTGCTGGCGGTCTGCTTCACCTTATCCCCAGTGTCTCCTCAACTCCATGACAGGATCTTGCTCCTAAAGGGGAACCTCTGCCTACCCAGAGAGGGGAGTAGGCAGAAGACTCTGAATTTCCCATTGGAAGCTGGGTAAAGTTGTAGCTTAGATTGGGATGTGTACCCTGTTGTTTACACCCCAGGGCTAACAATACTGGCATCTGGATGGATGCTCCAGTTCTGCACCAGCCAGCTTTGTTTGTTTAACTGATGGCAGCTGTTCTTGCAGGAAGTGGTTCATATACCCAAATCCTGGGCAGTCTCACCAAATGAGATGGGTATTTGCATACCTTTCTTTATTACAAACCAGCTTTTCTGCTTTTTATTATTTACATGGGTTTCTTTTGATGTGCTAGCATTTCCAAATAAGGGCAAGAACTCTCAACTCAATAAACTAGTGGCCATGGGTTGGAAACAACAGATTGCCAAGAACCACTGGACAGGATCAAATCCACAGACAATCTAGGGCAGGTAGTCAGGACAGGAGGAATAGCTTAGGCCAGTGGTTCTCAATCTGGGGGTCACAACACTGTTGGTATAAAAGGATCCTTTGAAAGCAGAGTTGAAACCATCAGAAAACATAGATATTTATGTTATGATTCATAGTAGTAGCAAAACTACACTTATGAAGTAGCAATGAAATAATTTTATGCTTGGGGTCACTACAAGATGAGGAACTGTATTAAAGGGTTGCAGCATTAGAAGGTTGAGATCCACTGTGTTAGGTCTTTGCTGCCCTAGAGAAAGATAATTTGGGACTTTTGAATCTGTCCCCCTCCCACCCCCACCCTCCACCCTGCTCCCCACCACATTTTAAGTGAAATGTAATCAAAGAGGTTCTTTTTCTTAGCCCTTAGGGTAACTCTTCTGACTTCTTACTATAAGAAAAACAAAAATAGAAAGAAATAACAGGCAGGGACTATCATTTGGGGCAGGAGCTCTCAGGAACATTATTTCTTGTTTCTAAAATCCTCTTGAGCTCCAAAAAAAATCTTTACCCAGAAATCCATGTAAGGTCATCAACTGACTGTGTGGGTGCTTGGCGGTCCATGAGGACTGACAGTGTCCCACATGCTGGCAATGCCCAATGTGGAGTTCCTATCATCAGTCCTTACCTTTCAGGTGCTTGCTAGTTTTTTGTTTGTTTGGTTTTTGTTTTGTTTTGTTTTGTTTTGTTTTAGACACATGATGGTGGAAATCAATTTGCAACAAAAATTAGATTTCAGTGTGTCCCTTGAAAAATGTGATGTAACTGGCCAATATCAAAACATCAGCCCTTTCTCCTGAACACAGAAGGGAATAATTCAATATGTGTTCAAAATGCAGGAGGGGAGCAGAAGAGATGGTTCAGTGGTTGAGAGTAATTAATACTCTTAGGACCAGAGTCTGGTTTCCAGCATCCACATCAACATGGTTCACAACCATCTATAATCCCAGCTCCAGGGGAGCTACTGCCCCTTCTGGACTCAGCAGGCACTGACACAGGCAAACACAAACACACGTAAATTAAAAAAAAAAAAAAATCTTTTTTAAAAGTGCAGGAGAAGCAAGAGAGCTTTTCAATATCCTCTGCACTATGAGGAGACCACGAAGCTCTGCTCACTGTGAGAAGCATCTTTGTATAGGGCTCTATAGAGTTCAGGCCATTGTGGTGTCAAGATGAAGGCGAAAGTTAGAATAGGCTCAGGATTGGGTGGGGCAGGCTGAGTGACAGGCCATGTGGCAATGTGATACCCTTGGACAGTGACTATTCCCACAGCTCACTGAGACTGATTCAAGATAGCCACCAGGATCCACGGAGTATCCCTGGGTGCTAGGTAATGGGGTGGTGGTCATAGTCTCTCCTTAGAGGAGGAATTTGGAGAATATCATTTTATAAGCTTGGCTTCTCTAATCATTAGAGGTCAGAGACGCTATAAGAAGAGTGGTCTATGTCACTTGGGTTCCTGGGAGTCCTAGACTATTGCTGGAGGGGTGCAAGGGAACAGCCAGACTCTGGGAGCACTGCTCACCTATAGACAGTGTTCTCACGGTGTAAGTCTTCCAGGCCACAGAGGATCTCAGCTGCATAAAACAAGGCTCGCTCTTCTTCAAAGCCAGGGTTCCCCATGTTGTAGATGTGAAACTTCAGGTCACCCCCATTCATGATGGTCAGGACCAGGCACAGTGCATCTTTGGTCTCATAGGCATAGGCCAGGTTGACCTGGGAACACAAGAGCAGCAACTGTCACTGACTAATACTCCTTTCTCTTAGATCATTAGCACTAGGAGGTAGAGGGGAGTAAAGGGGACAAAGCAGCCCATATGCTGTTTCTAGTTCTCCTCTCAGTGACCCTGCCTTATAGCCAGCAAAGAACTCATGCTCAGATCTTCTGACAAGTGGTTCAAAGTAAAGGGCTGAAGGGGATATGGACAGATAGAACACTAACCTTCTGGCTTCCATACTACTAGGATCAGTCAGTTGAAAACAACGTTCAGATAATGGGCATAGCCCTTATTATAGTGACTCTGCCATGAAACAGCCCCTGACTTCATCCACAGAAGCATATCAGGGGATGTTTGAAAGTGGGCATCACCAGATGGTTGGTAGAGGTTTACAAATGATAAATGATTTCAGTTTGTAGAGATGGGTTATATAAAGCAGGGATGTATACTTTTTTTTAAGGGGGGAGGGTAGCTAGAATGTAGGTCTAGACAGAGAAAAAAAATCAACTTCAGGGTAAAAAAATCATCATAGCATAATATGTATAGGATGGTCCTGTTAGCTAAAAATAATAAAGCCTGTGAATGAAAAAAGCATGTATAGAGTGACTGCTCATAGAGCTATTTGTTATTATTGTGTATCTTTCTGTGACATGTGAATTTTACTTCTCATATACATTAGTTTTTATAATACCATGTGAAGGAAACATTTAGAGCTTACCAAATACCCATGCCCCTCCACATCCCCGAGCCTCCTCCTCAGGAAGTGTATCCCTGTATGACTAGTTGTGACCAGTGGACTAGGGGTGGAAGTACGGAATGCTAGTCCAGCTGAGGCAGTGAGAGGTCCGTGGAGAACCCCCAGCATCCTTCCCCGGCTTTAGTTAGGGTTGTCAGTAAGTGAGTGGCTTGCTCAATCTGACCAGACTTGACGTGACTGACAAATAAGCTTTTGCTGTGTGCTGCTACTTAAAGTTAGGGCTAACTGGTTACTTGGGCAGAGTCTAGTCTAGAATGACCAGGAAGCATACAAACAAAATATCTAGGAAACTCTACCATGATGGTCTCTAACATAATGAAAGCAGATAAGAGCATCTGTGGAACCCAGAGATCCTTGTCTGGGCCTGGAGGAGCCTTGTTTTGTTTACCCTGGACTTTATAATGTGATCTTGGAGAACAGAGATCCCAGAAGTGGGGACTGGCTTCACTGGAGGACCATCATTCCTAGCAAGGGAAGGAAGTCCCATCACCAGAAGAGTGGGCCTGTGGCTGGGCATGGGACACTCACCACAAACTGGCTGTTGACCTTCTCAAGAATCTGCTTCTCATTGAGTGCCATGGACTCTCCTTTCCTCTTTTTGATCCTCTTCTTCTCTAAGCGTTTGCAAGCATACATTTTACCTGTGGCCCGAACCTGGCAGGCACAGACCTGCAGTAGAAGCAGACAGTACTGTCATAGGATACTGAAGTGTTTTACCCAACTCCAAGGCTGGGATGACAGGTCTCTGGAGCTGGAACTGGTGGGGCCAAAGCCAGCAGGTTTGGCCTGTGGTTACTGGCATTCAGGACATCTGGCTCTGTACCCAGTGCTGCCTGGATCCTGCCTTTATGAACTAGCTGTAAGACTCCTCCTCCCCTGCGAAGGCTCCTGGCCTTGAAGGTACTGAAATGACCCAGCATAAAGTCAGGTGACTGGTTAGAGGCTTCAAGTGCTACCCCCGAACCCCCATCAGGTACAACTGAGTTTTTTCCTGCCAGCTGGAAGAATCTGTTTTTTTTTTTTTATTTGGGGGGGAGACAGTGAAGGAAGACCTTCAAGAACCCTAACTTTATAATTCAGAGAAATGGAAAGAAGCACTGAGAGTTCAGCACTAGTTCTGCTCTTTACTGGTTGTGTGACCTTTCCTAAGTCACCAGTCTTTTCTGAAAAGTTATCCTTGACTCCAAAAAAGAAACAAGGCTGACCTCAACTATTGAGAAGACCAGATAGTATTCATTAAATCTCTATTCCTGTAACAAGATACACTAACAGTATCACCTGGCCCCCTCATTGGCCAAGGTTGTTCAGTACCCTCATGCCTTGGGTTACCCTCCTCAAACACAACTCAGGAGACCCATCCTTCCCTTGAAGCCCCCACGTGAGGCTGGCTGGAAAGAACCTCCACTTCACCTGCCCTCACAGGGCAGCAAAGACTCTGTTGCCCTCCTTCTTTCTCCCTCACAAATGTGTCAGTACCCAAGCCAGACCCCTTGCCCTCCGTCTCTGCTATCAGAGGGCCAGGACAGAACAAGAAGATCCTTCTGAAAGCACTATTGATCTAAAAGGTGTAGGGAAGGGGAGCAGAAGCCCAGACCCTTCAATGGAGATGTCCACTCACCTCTCCAAAGCCCCCTTTGCCCAGCACTCGGTATTGCCGGAAAGTGTTTTTGGTCACTGGTTGCCTGAAAAATATCAAGAATCTGACATTCGTCTCCTGAAGGTAAGATTTGAGAACCATAAGAAACAAGTAAGGGTGGTTGGCAAGGAACCAGCCAAGGGTATGCAATACCTTCCTCTGAGGCTGTGCTAGAGACTCAGACCTCTGGCTCCAGGTCATGGGCAGCTAGGGGTTGAGCCACCCCAGCATGTTCAGAAGGACAGGGAAAAGGTTTGGAAGAAGAAACCCACAGTGCTTAACCAGGTTGAGTCAGGACTTTGCAGGAACTCAGCCCAACCCAGGCAACTAAAGGCTCCCTAGCTGCCACCCTTCCACTGACAACATCCTTATGCTCTCTCCCAAACTCAGTCTGTGGCCAGACCCAAAAGGGAACTCTGCTACATATGGTGCACATGAGGACGTGCGTGAAGGCGTGTGTTCATATGTGAGTGCATGTGTGGCGTGTGGGCTGAGGCCACAGAGGACCACAAAGCCCTCCCCACACCTGTAGAGCTCAGCCTACCCAGCAGATGGCCATACTTGCTGCTCTGGGCACTCATGAGTGAGGGCACCTAACTTAGAGCAAATGTTGCTGGCTACAGGTCTGGGTCCAGGTAATCTGTCATCATCAACTCTTAACTTTTCCTTTACAGGCACTGCTTTGTTACATTTCCATCCACCCAGGACACTAGAATACCCTGAATAGCCAAAGAGGTAGTAATAAAATACCCATCATTTTCTGTCTTCAGCTTCCAAGTTTAATGAGCAAGACCCATTTAGCATGTCTAATCAGACAGGATTTCTGATCAAAAGGCATGGATGGTATTCCCAGGAGTCAACAAATAAAGTCATCTGGCTTTTGCCAAGAACTCCATGGTGAAGAGCTCGTTTTTTATTCCTGGCCTGGTTGGCAAGGACTAATCAATGTAGTGTGGGAAGACCACCTCTTGGAGCACAGGGGCTATTTTACACACACACACACACACACACACACACACCATGCGCCATTAAATCCCTGATCAGGACAGGGGCTAGAGGAGACTAAACTGGTTCAAAGAACTGGATCAGTATGAGAAGGACCCACAAGCCTTCAGCAACTCTTGAACATTCATACCCTCTAAAAAGTGGATAGACTTTGATTTCAGTGAAATTGCCTTTTCACACTACAACTACCCCTGAGACAACCCTGAAAACTCAGGGAACTCCAGGTTCCAGGTCTCCAATTCATGTGTCTGACACACTTTTCTCTTTGCTGATCATCATCAGATGCACAGGGTACCATGCCACAGAACACCTCAGTACCTGGCTTCCTACTTAGCACCAGGGCAGCTCAGGTGTCCCAGAGAAGCCTGACAAGAGCTGTCATCTGACACAGGGCCAGAAGCCTTTCCTACAACCACTACATAAAGGCAAAAAAGGTTATATTGGCATAACCATTTACAACACATTGAGAATAAACAGTCAGTCACCACTACTGCAGAGCTCCTCTGCTAGAAAAATGATTGTCCTGCAATTTCCTAGGGAATTCTTTGTTAACCCTGGGAGGGAAATCCCCTTAATATTTCAGTAACAAAGTATAAATATGTCATGATTGAGGGGGAAAAGCTGGAGAGGTGGGTTACCATCAGTGATTGCTACACTAGGATCCTATCTTACTGGCTCTAACAACTTAGTGCCTTCCAAAGGGTATATTCTTAACTTTGCAGTAATAAAAATGTCCATTTCATGAAGCTAGTGCAGATAAATAAAAAGAAATTTATTTTTTCTTTTGCCAAGAGTCAATTAGAATTGGGCTGCTGGGTAGAAGGGGGACCAAGGACTTGAAAGATTTTGGATTCAGAGTCTAAACTACCAAACTGTCTAGGCCTTCTGTCTTCAGTAAAATGTATATAACAAGAAGGCAAATGTATGCATGCCAAAGCTTCTCATAAGTTGCTTTTGTAGTAGATGTCATTAATTGCAATAAAGAACAGTTTTGAGGATCTTCAAGCTGACAACACCTATTGCTGGATGTGCCTTGCTTGTGGACTCTGTCGTTGCTTGAATGCAAAACTGTGCCCCCAAAGTTTGCATGTTCAAGATTGGATCCCAATGCTGCTATGATAAAGGTGAGCTCTGCTCAGGTAATTCTCACTAGTTGGGGCAGAAAGACACTTGGTTTAAGCAGGCTGCTTTCCTACAGAGCATACTGAAGTATGCAGAGAAGATGGGTCTTCTCTGGGACCTTGAGATGGCTCCTGGCTATAGTGGTATCTTAACTAGGCCAGTGTACTTGTAGTAGTGGCCACATCCTTTGGGCGAGGCTTCAGGTGCAGACATGACCCATTAAGATAAAGGAGGGGCTGGCTCTTGCTCTCTTGGGTTCCAAGAGCAGAGACTGCATTTTCTGGAGCAGGAAGGTGGCAGCGGTTATTTACTCTTATCTTTGTAAGTTCTTCCCTAATAAAAACCTATTTATCATTTATCTTGGGTCTGGTGAAGTCATTTTGAAGGAACCAGCTCCCCATTTCGACAGCCACGACAGTAACACGTGCTCGATAAGACCTTGTCTTAGTCACTAGAGATTAGGTACCTGCCTCGTGACAAGGAACCAATCAGAAGTTAGCTGGTGGCGCTATGCTTTACGACCCTGGGTGTACACAGCACACAGCAATGACGCAAAGCATAGCAACCACCCTGGGAGGGCCTATGGGCCATAACAACCAGTT